CCCCCCAACAAACCAAGTCAAAAAACAAGACAAAATACTAAAGAATCCCAAGAAAATTATTCCTGAAAAAACCATAGAACATTTGCTTCTTGTCTTGCTTTTTCACACTCTATACACAGGTTATGCATTGTCTTTTCTGTTTCTGTTTCTGTTTCTTCTTACATTTTTTTTTGTTTCTTTTTCGTTTTTTACAAGAAAATGATTCTGGTTTTAATTAATGTGTATATATATGTGCAAATGTGGCTTTACAGGAAGTGAAAAAACTGGTTAGAAGATGAGAAAAATGAAGAAGAGAGAATGGAGCTCTATTCTTGGATGGTTGATCATTTTTCTTCAGCTATTTTTGTTGGCTGAATCTGCATTAACAAGAGAGTTAGAATTCTTTACCTTTCTTTTAAGTTTTATTATTATTATAATAACTTCACTTTTTAGTACTCTGCTATTTAACCTACATTAATTTAAGAAATTAAAGACTAAGGTTTTGTATGTTTAATACTATTTGTTTCTGTCAACTTGATGTTTGCTCAATACATCCTGGGAATAGAGTTCATGATTTTAATTAGTTGAGCTGACGATTTTTTTAAGTAAGGGTGGTATTTCGGGTTAGCTCCCGTACAGTGACAAAGCTAGGAATTTACCCAAGAGTATTTAAATTTGAAAGGAGTGAAAATAAATCTCGACAAAGAGTATTTAATATGTGTTATATACCTCTAGGTGTAATATTTTATCTATATACATCGTGCAATTTTTCGACAAAGGGTGATCATTGACCACCCTTATAACCACGTGGCTTTGCCACTGCTCCTGTACCTCGACTATTTTATTGATATATGCTATCTTTCGTTTGTATAAATATCGTATAACTCTACCACAAAAACTGGAACATATAGAAATAATAAACACCAAATAAAATTTTTTTTGCTGGAATTTAAGCACTATTTTTTCCAACATTATTAACCACTAATCCACTATCCTGAGATGCAACTGACGAGTCAAAATCTTAATAACTGAAAATTGTTTGTGGGGTTTTACTTGGGTTTAGTGGCTAATCTAATTTCGGAATTCTCTGTACCTTAATTCACTTGAACTTCTAATTGAAGGGTGAGATGGAGAATTCACACCTAATTTTTCTCTTCCTTTTCCTTTTATTTCTGTTTTATTTATTGTTTTTTCTTTCCCTTTTTTTCCTTTTCTTTTTCTTTTCTTTTTTTCTTAAGAAAAATCATAGGTTTCATTTCAATATATTCCTCCCTCCCACCCCACAACTATTGGATGATAAAATCAAAGCTCTATTGTTCCTTTGATTCAACTTTCTCTAAAGATTTCTTACCTTCTTCAATTTCTTCTATTTATTTACAATTTTATACCAGTCAAACAAAATTAGACTCGGAAAAAAGATTTATGGTCTTTAATATATCATAAAATATTTTGTCTATAAAAATATATCGTTATGAGCAAAATGAGAAATTTAATGTCAACGAATTTTTAAATATATATATTTTATTATTTTTTAACGCACTATAAAAAAAGTCCCACATCAAATTGACCAGTGTGTGTCATAGATTTATTCTAATAGTTTACATATATTGCCTACAGAGAAATTAAATTTACTCCTTGTTTAAAATATCGCAACGTATCTGAGCAAATGACACTTGTCAAGTGATTCTGTGATCGAATTTGCCTTTTCAGTTTCACACACTAATTTTTGTTCTCACATGAACTAAATTGTCATCTTTCTATTGAATATTTTCACCGAATTTATGGTCCTATCGTATCATGTTTTTCTTTTTATTCCTATTCCTATTC